AAACAGTGGCCGCAGGAGACGAAAACAAAACGACTTATCTTCCGTGGTTCGTGATTCCTCTGACAGCGGCCACTCCAAGAGTTCCTTAATACAAAGCGATAAATCAGACTTTTGTGTTTAAAGGAAGAGGTGGCCCCAGCGATTAAATATATTCTTTCATTTTAGCGGAGTTTGAGACACAAAATCCAACATGTTGACGAATCCCTTTTCTGCTCCACGTTGTGGTTGGCAAAGTGTTTTCACATGCATTATCTCACTGACTTTTCAGGTTCCCTAACATTTCATTCAATTACCAACAGAAAAATAAAATTGAATTCCAGAAATTCCAGTTTATGTTCAGTAAATGGAGGACTCTGAACCCCAATGTGCAAATCTGCGTATCCCGGCCCCAGTGAAGCCCTATGTTTCATGGCCAAGTGTTCTGGGCCGGGGGTCGTTGAAGATGTATTTTGATCCCTCAGAACTTTCTAGTTTCACTTTCAGTCACTCCTGCTTGGATTCAAGTAATCTCTCTCTGTGATGGTGGGGCAGAGCGAGAGGAGGCCCGTGGAGGAGGGCAGAGAGACTCTCCTGGGGCTCTCTGTGGAGTGAAAGGTGACCCATGGATGGCAGCGGGGACCCAGCACCCTGACCCCCACCTTACGAGGCACTGTGTACCACTGCAGCATGCAGGCCTGGCCTGGGCAGCTGGGGGTCAGAGGGGGCTGTGTCACTGGGGCAGGGCCATGTCTTCAGTCTCATTGTCACTTCTCTGCTCACAAGATGTGTCCTGTGAGAGCATCCAGGGCAGTTGCCCAAGGAGGGGACAAGGCCAAGTGAGGGCAGGAGAAGGGGCTGATCCTCCGGGTAGTAGTTGGTGTGGGGCACAGGCACGGGGTGTTGGTTCTGGAGATGGCAGGAGGCTGTGGGTGGCTCCAGGGAGGGCGGCAGGTGGGAAGACAGCAGGGACTGGTGACCGAGGACTGCGAGCTTCGTGCTTGGACTTGCCCCTGGCCCCTGGCCCCGCTGCAGCACCCAGAGGAGGTCAGAACGGCTGTACCCAGACAGGTCAGAGGGGACGCCTCATTGCCTCTGCCAGTGTCCCTTTCGATTTTCAGCATTTGCTTATAAAACAATTTGTATTAACAAAATGTAAAAGAAAGTGAGACTAAATCTTTACACTCGTGAAAGAAATTTCATAAAAACACTTGAACACACACCGTCAGCCTCTCTATCTGTGGGTCCCACGTCTGCCAGTTCAACCAACCGGGTATTGAAATATGGAGAACAGAAATGTGTCTGAACTGAACATCCAGGGAGATTTTCTGGTCACTTCTGTAACTATTTACTTAGTATTCACGTGGGTTTGGTATTGTAAGTGACCTAGAGATGCTTCAAATTATGCAGGAGGCTGTGCATAAGTTATGTGCAAATACTCCGTCACTTCACATAAAGGACTTGAACATCCTCCAAGTTTGGCACAGGAACTAATCTCCTGAGAATGCTGAGGGATGTTTGTAATACCTGGTTTTCATTGTTTAAAATAGAAAATACATTTTTATAAATAATTTTAACCAAAATTTAGAAAGAGAAAATGTAGTTAATGGCAAAGAAAAATCTGAAATACCCTCTCCTTTCTCCAGACACAGCCAGTGTCATTTTGCTGCCTGGCCCCAGCTTCTTTCCCCACAAATTTCAAACTTACAAGACCCAGCTATATTGCAATACTGCTTTGAACTTTTAACTTAGCCTGCTTTGAACATTTTTTCAGATCCATTAATATATTTTAGCAATGGAGCTTTTAGTTTCTAAAATCACAGGAATATTCTTAAATGAACCACAACTTAACTAGTTCTCCTTTGCTGGAGGTGTAGGGGTTTCCGGTGTCTTGTTATTATAAACAACACTGCAAAGAGCATCCTTGAAAAGCCATTGTCTAGTATTTCCTTAGGATGAACTTCTAGAAATGGGATGTTTAAGCCACGGACTGTGACCATGTTTAAAGACATGGAAATGTGTGGTCAAATTGTTTATCAGAAAGTTCGTAGAGATTTAGACTCCTTGGCAGTAATTGAGAATAGCCTTCCCCTAGAGGAACCGGAGCGTTTTAGAGGTCAGGACAACGTAGGTTGACTGCACCTCATCTCCTGAAGGACAGCTGACTGAGGTACGAGCACCCTTGGCATTGACTGGGAAACCAAGGAAGAGTGCACCACGGGACCCCAGAGAGACTGGACTTCTCTTCTGAATTGTCTTCCTGCAGTGCACTTCACCGTTGAACTTGGAGCCCGTGACTTTTGGAGAGGTGTTTATTCAACATTTTGAGGACATGAAGAGGAGAAAATCCACTTCCAGAATCAACCAATTTCTAGGAAGTAGTTGTACCGAGGAAATAGCCCTCCCATGTTGTTACAAGCAAAACCAAATCAAACCAAACCAAACGGACAGATTGACTAGTGCCTAACAGAGGTTCTCACTAGGGTAGGTCTGTGGAAGGTGCAGTGTCCCTCTGTGAGGGTTTTGGAGTGTCTTCAGCCCAGAACTGAGAATAAAGAGTTCAACTGAGGGTATCCTGGGACATCAATATGATCTGTTTTGGGATAAGGAAAAGTCCATATTTGCTATAAAAATAAAGCAGCCCAAAGGTTTGAGCATGCTGTCCCTGAAAGTAAAACCCCGACCCAGGACAAAGAGCTTTCTGAACTTCAGTCAGCTGGACAGCGTTAGCCTTCGACATCACACTCAATTTCCACAGACGAACAACCTGTTCCCATATGACAGAGCAGATGTACATCAGGGAACCCCCCTCCTTGCTCTTCGCACCACCATTTGCCTTTTTGGAGACGTTTTCTTTGCAGTAAAACCAGAGCACCCTTAGCTTTCAGTGTCTGCACCTGGCTGCTGATTTAGAGCGTGTCCCACGACTCACTGGTCTAGTGGAAGGTGCATGTGCCCCTGTGTCCCAGCAACTCCACACCGCAGTACTCACGCCTGGCCAGTTTCCCCCAGTTTAGAGTGAGGGCCTGGTGGAAAGGTGCTGTGTGGTTCAGCAGGTGGGGTGGATGCAGGGAGTCTGTGCTTCTAATTAGCTCCCCCCTCAAGCTGGGGCTCCCAGGCCGGAGGACCACACTTGAAGGGCGAGGTGCTGGGTGTTTGGTCTGAACCTGGTGCACATTGGAGTCTCCAGCAGGGGCCTCTCACACCTGGGCATCCAGCCTCAGTACACCAGGACCTCTGTGGTGAGGCACTGCAGGTCTTCAGTCTTCCCAGGTGATTGCAAGGCTGGGGACCAGTGCAGCCTCCTGCACGTGGGTGCAGGGAGACAGTGGGGATATTCACACAGAGGAGGCCCAGGGCTGCTTCATGACGGACTGTATCTGCCTGAATTCACTGGGCTACATCTTGCAAGTAGAGTGCTGTGGGCCCAAAGCAAGGCAGATACCATTTATGTTAACTTTAAAAAACACAAAACAGTACGTGTTGTTGATATGGTAAAGAATTAAGATTCATAGAGGAATGTGGCATGAATTCACTTCAGGGTAGTGGTGACTTCTGGGGTGTCCAGGAGGGGCATGGCAGACTCTGCTGTGTTTGAAATGACTTCTTCCTTTCAGCAGAGAGGAAGGAGAGGAAAGGGAAGGGAGGAGGGAGGCAGAGGGTGAGAACCAGAGCAGGGGAAGGACGGGAGGGAGGGAAGCCCTGGTGATGGGCAGGGGCCTGTGCTCACCCTCACTCGGGTTCCTCCTGGCACACTCAGGTGGCTGGAAACGTTAGTGGGACATCTGGCTACAAAGTGTCCCGTGCCACTTCCTCATTTAAGATGACCAGAGGGTGTGGCATGCCTGTCTTCCGGGGCCTGTCCAGAGCCCGAGGTCAAGGCTCCGTGGCCCACAGGAAGCAGATGCAGGGGGAGAGGGGGCTCCTGGGTGGGATCCAGAGAGTGGAGAGTTGGCAGGACCAGGAGTCGGGCCCCTGCTGCCTGCCCAGGTGTCTCCGAGCACTCTGGGGAGCAGTCTCAGGGGAGACCCTCAGCTGGGGCTGTTTACAGTTCAGGGTCACCTGCTCTGGTTCCCTAGGGCCTGCCCTCCACGTCCTGCACCCGGGTCCCCTTCCACGTGGCAGTGGAGCGTGAAGACACTCTCTGTACCCTATGGGGTATCTGTGCTCCAGGCTCTGGAATGTGGAAGTCACTCACCGGCCCGGCTCCTGCAGGTGCCAGTTCATCGCAGGAAAAGACTAACTGGCAGCTGACAGCTAGCCGTGTGGCTAGGGTTTGGGTTCACCACCAATTCATGGTCAGTGTTTTTATTATTTTTCTAATCCACAGTGAGTATCCCCCTGCACATGTATTCTAACTCTCCAAACATCCCAGTAGTCTGCCAAGGAAGAAAAAGTTGCCTTTTTGTCTTATGCATTTTTAAATGAATAAGTTAAAATCAAAGTAAATGGAAAAACAAAGAAT